CGTTGGCCGCAATTTAATTAATTCGCTTGCCACTGCTGCATTGGGATCGGGCATTTGGACCAAAGCGAAAGAGGCTATATCCTATAAAACAATCCTAGCGGCTCCCCAATCAAAGTTTACTGGTGCGAGTGAATTGTATGCGAGCAAAACTACTCAAAAAGTAAAGAATACTTGGTATTGGATTCGGAAATGGGCAAACGTTTGTGGATCCTGATATTCAAGATCTGAAGACGCGCAGACTTTATCACTACAACGTAAATGTCTGCTGCTTGTCTAAAGCTCGGATTCCCGACTGAAGCGCTTTGGAAATACGGATTATGGAGGTCAACTCACACTTTACCTTGTACCGCAGTGGCCCACGCGACTCCTGGTAGACATGATATAGCGGTCTCCCTCGAGCAACAGGCGAGCTATGCACTACATACATGGGAATCAGTCAATGAATGGTTGGTCCACTTGCGAATAAAGACTCACTTCACAAACATATATCTTCTTCATGTATGAATTGGCTGCCGCTGTCGAACAGCGAGATAATTTGGCGTTTTGCACACAACCGCAAGCGTTAGTCAGAAGACTTACTTGCCACAATCTGCTGATTTTTGCCGGAGTCTGGAATGGCCCGATTGGACCTTGGGAATGCACAAATAATCAACGTATTGGCTTCTTTAGATATGACGCTAGATGTGAAAATTGTGAGGATTTGCTGATCAAAACGGAACGTTAGTCGCAAAAACGTACTCCTAGCATCACAGCGAACATCTGATGAGCTGGTATTCAAACAATGGTCACACGACCGATCAGATGGACTCCATTCTAGTGAGTTCAAGGTTTCGCAGCATTTTGATGGTTGCGGATTCATGTGTGTTGTCAAATGGGTAATGCTCATGGGTCGAACCATGTTTTTGTTCGTGCTGACTTGAAAGACCACCTCTCATCCACACTCAAAATGACACGTGGTAGACGCCTCGATCTCACCAAAACGTAGCAACTCTGCACTATTGAAGCCCTGAGCAGAGAAGCCTGTTCCCTCTTGCAACCTGGGCCGACGCACGAGGCATCAACCACTGGTTATCACTGATAAAACCAGTCTGTGCGATAAATGATAAAATCTTTGGATACACCCAGTGACGCCGCAGTGACTGGATGACTGGGAGAACCCCCTCTGATGGCTCGAACCAGACCACGTAATGATGGTTCCTTCCGCTAACTCTAGAAGAGAACGCTAAAGTCGGCTAGGAATAAGCGAAAGAAATAATGAGTTAAAATTGCGACTTCCATCGTGCAAAGTTAAAACGTTGGTGATATTCAGAAACTCGATAAAATTATCCGCCATTTTAGGGGTAAACCCCCATCGCCAAGTGAATCTCTTCCCGACTTGACTGGCTTTTTTTTGCTGACAACTCGGCCAAGCTCCAACGCTGGGTTGGGCACTTCAGGAGCCTTCTCACCCTCGATATTGGACCACCAACCCCTCGTTCCCAGCTGAAGTAGGGTTTCTTCCCTCGTCAACCTAGGCACTTTCAAGCATTTCCCATCTAAAAACGAAGTCGCCAATGCCATAAAAATGCTGCATAATAAGCATCTGAAGATGACAGTATATCCACTGATTTCTGCACGTGTTTTATCGACACTCTGATGTCCTGAATCGATGAGATGATTAAACGAGCGTGGAGATACAAGATCGGTCCTGCTTACTTGGGCTCGGACATCCTTGTACCTATTCTCAAAAAGGGAGATGGTGAGATGCGAGAACTACCATGACAGAAGCCTCATCAACGTTGCTGTGAAAATCTTCGCTATTGTCCTTCTCAGGTAATTTCAGGCTGTGACAGATGAGACCCAACCATGTTGGATCCTTTGCTGGAAATGACTTTGCGAACAGATATTCATAATGAACCGCATTCTTGAATACGCTGTAGATACCAACACCAGGAGACCATCTACTTTGTTGACTCTGCCATCGCGTTCAATTTCGTCCATTGTAAATACCAGTGGCGAATAATGGCACTAGATTGTGTTCCACAAAAATTATTGTCATGGCCAAGGCCTACTTCCGCTTCCCCAATGCACGAGGTCTATTCCATAGAAATCTCTCACATCCGTTCAATACCCGGTCTGGCATTCGGCAAGGTTTTATCGTGTCTTCCACTCTCCTAAACTATGCCATTATGGATGGCAGCGTTGTGTTTGCACCCGGATACTTGCAGCCTGGTCTCGAATACTCCGATAATATCGCTTTACTAGCTCCAAGCTTCAATGGCCCGCGGTTTATGGTGTCATGGGCAAATACACTCATTAAGTCGGTTGGTTTGTTTGCGAAATTTGGGAAGACCAACGTGTTTTTAAACTGCCTCCCCCACCAGTCGGAGATAGCTCTTGAGATTGACGGCTGTCAATTTGAAGAAGTAAACAGTTTCAAACTACTACGGGTAAGGCTGCTTTCGAATTCACAGGATAAGGATGGCACTGTCTCCCTGTCGATTCTGCTCTTCGAGTTTTCTAAAGCCTTAGAAAGTATATAGGAATCCGATGCGGCATCTGCATTGCCACGAATCTTTGAGTGTACCATGCATCCATTCGATCAGTCCTCCTCTATGGTTGTGAATAGTGGGCAGTGCGCGTGGAAGGTGAGCAAAAACTGGAGGTATTCAACTACCACTGCTTGAGGGCCATCCTTTAAATGAAGTACATTGACTTCGTCTAAGCACTTCAAATCAAATCAAATTTATTAAAGGAAATATAGGCAAACGCCTTTGAACTCCCTATAGGTACATGGTATTTAAGAAATGCATCGGCATAGCCGAACATTTCAAAGAAGTCTTTGACACAATTGTAGGCGACTACTCGCTTGTTTCAAATGATACACTCACATGTGGTGATGTCAGTTAACACGAGCCAGCAGTGTAACTGAG